AGGTCTGCCCTGCTCCGGCCCCTGACCCTCCTTGGTTCTGCAGACAAGCTACTTCAGTTCTTGGCTCTGTTTCCTGTGCTTTGAAAGGGAAAATCATTTCTGTGCCTCCCTAATTTGTCAGTGTGTTTACCTGAGCATCCCTACCACAGGTAGGAAGGCTTCTGCCTGTGTAGAACAAAAGCTTCCTGATGGTGATATCCTGGGATTCCCCAGCTTTTCCAGTGTACCCTCCCAGGACATGGGCGGAAGGTGGCACAGAGAAGAGCGTAGCTGTCTGTCAGACAGCTGAGGCTCCTCGTACCGGATCTGCCACTTAGCTGGCGGCAGGACCCTGACCAACAAGATATTCCACAGCCCCTATGCGTCTCAGCTTCCTCATGTCCAAGACAGAGCAGATAACATCTGTGTCCCAGGTTGCTGCGAGGGTCAGAGAATGCTCTGAAACCACCTGGCTTGGTGTTTGGCTTGCTGAGAGCATTCTCGGGGGATTCTGGAAGGTTCCATATTAGATTTACCTCTACTCAGGCTTTGGACGCGTCTTTTCCATGTGGCAGACACGTTGTCCACTTCCACAGGGGGTCTTTGGGACCTCTAGCCCTGTGGCCAAGGTCAAGGAGAGCTCCATGGGCTGTCTCCATAATCCTCTCCTGTTCCCTAATTCTCTGGAGCATCTGAAAACATGTTTATATGGCTGGTCACATTACAGAAAAAAATCAAATATACAGAGGTGTTTTTTTTTTTTTTTTGAGACAGAATCTCACTGTGTTGCCCAGGCTAAAGTGTCGTGGCATCAGTCTAGCTCACAGCAACCTCAAACTCCTGGGCTCAAGCAATCCTTCTGCCTCAGCCTCCCAAGTAGGGAGGGACTATAGGGGACTATAGGCATGCACCACCATGCCCAGCTAATTTTTTCTATATATTTTTAGTTGGCCCATTCATTTTTAGTTGAGATGGGGTCTTGCTCTTGGCTCAGGCTGGTTTCGAACTTCTGAGCTCAAACGGTCTGCTCGCCTCGGCCTCCCAGAGTGCTAGGATTACAGGCGTGAGCCACCGCGCCCGGCCTACAGAGTTTTTAAAAAGGGCATTTTGGCACAGCCTCACCTTTTGATACTTTACCTCACTGGACATCATATGCTTTAAGGAAATTGATACCGCTTAGGCACAAGGACCCACACTGTAAATAGGTTGACCTTCAGCCCTGGAAATGGTCAAGTGTCAGCGTTTGAGCAGCTGAAAGCATGCTCACGAGTGACATGTTATTCTTAGAAGGGATTTTTCTTTTCTTGGAGTCTGTTGCCTTCCCCACCACCAAATAGCGTTGACACCAGAGGATTCCAGCCCGCCTGTGGGTGTGTCATGCGGGTGTGTGTTGGTCCCCTGCTTGTTCTCCTAGGGACAGGCTGGCTCTGCCTTTTGTGGAGCTGCTGTGGAATGACGGTTGGATCCGACCCATGTTGAGCCAAGAGGTGCCACCGATGGGGCGTCAGCCTCCTTGGCCCCGTGTCCCCGAAGCCACGTGGTGGCATTTTTATAGCTGTGAGGCCTTTCCGGGAGACGAGCTTTATGGGAACTTACTCTTCACTTGTTGGTGAGAAGAGGAAATATTTGCTTATTTACAGACCCATCTTGAACCTTTTGGATGATGTTTTGTTGCCAGTGGCAGATGAGAAGAAATACGAGAAATCTTCCGTCTTAGGTTGTTGGGCTGTTGCTCTGTCCTAAGGGAGGGTATAACTTCTGTTCCTGGCAGACCTTTGCAAAGTGACAGAGCTAGTCTGGTCTGGTTTTCAGCTAGCTCAAATGCCAAGTGTGCTTGCTGTGACATTTCCCACGGTGGGCAGAGAAGCCTCGGCATTCAGATGCAGTCCCCCTGCAGGACTGAACTGCTTCCCTCAAGCTCCAAGTAAAATTCTGAATGCACTCACTCTCTCATTATTAACTCTTCCCTTAGCTCTTTCAAAACCTATGCTGGCTTCCTGAATGGAAATAAATGTCCTATGCAAATGTTGTAGGCACTATGGGAAGGTTTGCATATTGAACTTCGTGGGGGCTGATGGGAAGTCGTGGGAGGGGTAGGTGCTGACAGGTGTTTTTCATGGGCTCCTGCCTGAGGGGTGAAGGATTCAGAACTGTGTGTTCTTTTCCTGCGAGTCCATATTTTTTCCCCCCAGTGTGTGGCCTTCTTATTAAACACAAAGGGACAGGGATTTTGGTAACTCTCTGGCATGGCTATTCTTCTAGGCACAGGTGTCCTTTGTATTACCTGGGTGTGACCCGGCCCTGCTGTTCCTGCCTTGGTTCGCCAAGGACTCCCTGCCCCAGGCCCTTCCTGCTCCCTCGGACGGCTGCCTCCTAACGTGGAGCACCCCGGGATCCGCTCCTGCTCCTGCACTCATTTCCTGTGTGTGTGTGTGTGTGTGTGTGTGTGTGTGTCTGTGCACGTATACAGGGCTAGGCCTTTCTCTTTAAATTGGATCTCACCTTCCGTGTTGTAGGACTACCTCATAGTTTTGATCCATCCTCAGCACCTCCTCCTCATTTTCCCGTGCTGCGGTGTGGTTTTATTTATCAAGAGTGTTTTTTGATATTCCGACACCCTTTCCTTACCCTCTACTTAGTAGGTGCGGCAAGCGTGTGGCGTTCAGCAATAGGTGCTTTCTCTTTCCTGGCCTTTTTTTGTTCTCCGAAATCCCTGGGATTACCAGAGTTCTCATTTCCACTCCTGTATTCCAAAAGTGACACCGAGGTGCAGTTAATTGCACATGCATCACTACTTCCAAATCTGACGGTCCTCCCAGAATCCCCTGGCTTTGCATACTGCTTGTATACAGAGGGAAGTAAGGAAGGAACTGAGGTTAAGGTTATCAAAAAAGCAAGAGGACTCTGAGAAACTGTCATAGCCTAGATGGGTAAGGAGACGTGATGACTAAAGGTAAAGTGGTATTCTGAATAGGAGCTTAGAACGAAAACAAGAACATTAGGTAAAAGTTGGGAAATGTGAATTAAACATGGAGTTTTGTTAATAATATTGTATCAGGCTTGGCATGGTGGCTCACACCTGTAATCCTAGTACTTTAGGAGGCTGAGGCTGGAGGATTGGTTGAGGCCAGGAGTTGGAAACCAGCCTAGGCATAAAAGCGAGACCCTGTCTTTAAAAATAATAATAATAATGTATCAGTATTGGTTCATTAATTGTTACATATGTACCACACTAATATTAAGATGTTAATGAAAGGGGAAATTGGGTGCTGGGTATGTGAGGACCTGCCACTACCTTGAAATTTTTTCCCTTAAATCTAAAACTTTTTTTTGAGACAGAGTCTCACTGCGTTGCCTGGGCTAAAGTGCCGTGGCATCAGCCTAGCTCACAGCAACCTCAAACTCCTGGGCTCAAGCAATCCTTAAGAGAAAAAAAAAAAAAAAAGAGTGTTTTTTTCTCCCCTGTCTTTTCTGACACTTTGAGGGAAGGACAGAGACTGCAGTATGTGCTCAGTCCTTCCCACCTTTGTTTCCTACTCCATGGCAAGAACGTAGTACAGCAACTTTGTGAAGGTTTGACCCCAATAGTATTCTTATCTTTTGATTGGTTTTTCTGGGTTGAAGATTCATTCCTAGAATAAAAGACTGGGTCAGCTGTCCGCCCGCTCTTGTCCAGCTGGCTGTGTGTGCCACAGGCGCTTGGTTTATTTCCAGATCGACGAGCCCATTGCTGCTCCCATGAGCTGTTTCCCATCACAGGTCCCAAAGGCCTTATGCGAAGTGGGCTGGTACAGTGGGTGAAGTCAGAATTAGTCGATAGATAATTGTCACTCACCCATTAGCATGTATTTAGTTCATTCTCTATATTTCTCCTTTGACAAGTAAGTACTGGGGTGGAGAAGGGGGGTAAGATTGTCCACGTCCTGGTTATGTTTGCCATGTTGTCACGCTCAGGGTTTAATTAAAAGGCCTGAATGAATGTGATTGGTTCACCATATAGCCATTGTTATGCACCCCGAGCCAGGAGCTGCGGGGTACAGGTGGCGGATGGAGGATAACTATGTATGGAAATTTGCCCTCTCACAGTCGGATGAATCAGACACGAAAATATCCAGAAGATAAATTTTAGTAAGTGTAGTAACAGAAGTTCTGACAAAATGCTGTCTGAATATAGAATAGAACGGGGAGGGATTTAATTCTTCCTGGAGTGCTCAAAACACCGGTCAGGGAAGATGTGAGAATCAAGCTGTGCCTTGAGGGATGGGCACTTCCTGGTGTAATTGTTGGACACCCCGTGAGAACACAAGTGTTGCACAGGCAAGCGCATGACTGTTGTGTTCGTCATTGTGTCTCCTGTGCCTCTGGTGTTCAGGATACATATGGACGGATAGATGGAAGGAAGGAAGTATGTATGGATGAACAGATGAATAAATAAATGAATGCAAAATTCTAGCTGAGGGGCATAGCTTGAATGGTAAAAGAGTGGCAGTAAAAATTAAGTGTATTGGTGAAATTATAATTGGTTTGACTTACATGAAGGATACTTGAAAGAAAAAGGCCAGAGAACGAGTTAAAGAGCCCAGATGATGGAGACTCAAGCATTTTGGCTTTTCTCCCCAAATAGTGGGCACTAAACAGCTGGAACTATCTTGGGTAGGTGTAGGCAGTATGCATACATAATTCTAAATTTTTTTTAGAGACAGAATCTCACTCTGTTGCCCAGGTTCGAGTGCAGTGTTGTCATCATAGCTCACTGCAGCCTCTCAATCCCCTGGCCTCAAGTGATCCTCCCCCCTTGGCCTCCCAAAGTGCTGGAATTACAGGCATGAGCTGGCCTTCGTAATTCTGAGTTTTGAGAATAGAATTTAAGTTGAAGAAAGACTCCAAGTATGGCCTTTTCTGGCTTCTCCCATGCTGTAGATAAGCAACCGAAGACCCTTGCTGTAGGCGACAGGTTAGTTAACCAGCAGCAGCGAGGCCATTGCTAGTTCTGGGTGCTCATTTCTTGGTCTTCTGTTTAGATGTGTGCAACAGCACCGATCTTCCGGAAGTCGAGATCATTAGCCTGCTGGAGGAGCAGCTGCCCCATTATAAGTTAAGAGCCGACACCATCTACGGTTATGACCACGACGACTGGCTCCACACACCTCTTATTTCTCCAGATGCCAACATCGACCTCACAACCGAGCAAATTGAAGAGACGCTGAAATACTTCCGTAAGTAGCTGCCCTTCCGTGTTGTGACGTCAGTGTGATGACCAGTCCTCCGTAGCCACGGCCTCAGCTGAGGCCTTGTGCTGGTGAGCATGTGCTCTGGCCTGCCACCTCCAGAGAGGCGGTCAGAGAAACGTGGCTAGAAGGGTTAGTCACCTACCAGGTCTCGATTTTAAATGTTCTGAATAGCAATTTTAGAGTAGTGGGGACCAAGTATGATTTTCATTTGGACCAACTTTTTTTTTTTTTAACCATACAGAAGAATCTGAAAATGCTCTTGTTTCTCCTTTCTATGAAAAGTACCACGTCAGTCCTTAGAAACTCCCCGTTGGAGTTTGTCTGCATTTAAAACTGAAGGTATTGAGAACTAGGCAGCTCATTTATGGGACATAGCAAGACATTTGTACCAAGGCCGATGACTCTTATGTGAGAGCTCACTATGCTGGTTACTATGGAGAGCCAGAATATCCTTGTCACAGTGAGCCCAGCATGGGGCTGGGCTGCAGAGCTAGTCCCTGGCAGAATGAACAGTGCACTAGGTGAGCGTTTTTCAGTGTGGCCCTGATGAGAACGTTGTGCAATTTGACATTGCAAACCTGGGGGGGAAAAGTGATAATTAAAAAAATTATTACTTGATGTTTCTGATTTTTATTTAAGAGATGCCTTTTTAGAAGCAACTTTTATTCTTTAAAAACTCATGACAGCCTGGCATTTACATATCTGTGTATCATTATGTTGCCTTTTTTTTTTTTTTTTTAAAGTACAGTAATCCTGCTTCTCCATGGAGATAACTTGGTTCTAAACCAGCTTATAATGCATCTCTAAAAGTTTTCTGTAATGATTTTCACTATTACGGACTGATCTCTCCGGTTTTCTTGAATTTGCGATGTCATTTGTAATAAACAAGTTGGAGCTACAGGCATCTCCTTTAGGTTGCATCTGGGGCTGTTTTCAGGATCTGTCTATTAGATATTAATAAGAAAAGACAGCCTGAGCAAGAGCAAGACCCTGCCCCTACTAAAAACAGAAAAAAATTAGCTGGTGTGGTGGCACATGCCTGTAGTCCCAGCTACTTGGGAAACTGAGGCAGGAGGATCACTTAAGCCCAGGAGTTTGAGTTGCTGCGGTCTGTGATGATGCTATGCACTCCAACAGGGGTGACAGAGTGAGACTCTCAAAAAAAATTTTGTTGTTTTTGTTGTTGTTTAAATTGACTTGTGTTTTTTATACCTGATGCACACCCTACAATTTCTTTGTGAAAACTGTGGATGATCAGTTTCAATAGGAGTAAAAATAGGGTAATCCACCAGAGTAGCTATGAAGCATGTGAGACCTGAACGGATATTAAAGTTGTAGCTTTAGAACATCTAGCGTGTCCTGTAGCAGGCAGGAAGCTCTTTGCAAGTCGCTTTTACCTACTCGTGGTATCTGTACCACCGAGGAGATGTGGTATTAGGTGGAAAACTGAGTCTGGAGTAACTTCCTGGCAGGTTTTGTATTTGTTTTCTTCAGACTGCAGAGGGAAAGTCTGCAGTAGAATTCACAACAGAACAGCAGAATGCATAGCAGAATTATTTTTTGGGAAATCTCTCTGTGATACTGAATCCTTCCTTAGGAGACCCTCCTGTGAATCTGCAGGACCCCTCAGGGCCATTTCTATCGTAGGAGGCTCCTACACACTGATTAATCACTGACATTCACAGTGCAATCGGAACACCGTCCGTGGGTAACACCACACAGTGTTCAGAGAACTTTCACTCGAATTGCCTCATTTCATCCCTGTAAAATGTCTACGATTGGGCAGGGTTGGTTTTATTACAGAAAGAAACGGAAGCATGGAAGGCTCAGTGTTTATTCCATAACATTGAACCATGGTTTCAGTAGACTTGAACAGAGATTGTGTCTTCTTGTTTGTTTGTTTGCTTTTTATTATATATTTAAGAAAAAGAAAAAAACTCCTGGTGGATTTGACAGTGGATAACACAGCTAATAATAAAACTGAAATAACCAAGATAAACATCAAGCAGAGATTCTCAAGTTCTTACAGCATGGTTGCATCCAAGCCTTATCTTAAATCTGCATTTTTTTCTGTGGTTCCTATACTTAGGGCAAAACTGCTATTTGCTCAGTATCTATTAATTGAATGATCAGGCGTTAACTCCTAAATATAGGACCCTGTAGAGCAGGGTTCTCACATTGAGGTCCTGGGACTCTCAAAGGGCCTGCAGAGAGAATTGAGGAGTTCTGTCAACTTGTAAAGGGGAAAAGATTATGTCTTTGGTTTCGTTAACTTCTAATTGAAATGCAGCATTTCCTTTCGTCATGAAGGTAGACAGTGGTCTTAGTAGGCCCTGTGACTTTGTCACCGGTAGAAATCACAGATATTTTCATGTCATGTTGCAATGGAGGCAGATACTTTGAGTTGCTGCCTTTACCCATCACTGCGTTGAAATTACATTTGTTATTAGATGTGCTGATAGATTTTATACTTAATGCATTAATAAAGAAGCACTTGCATCACAGAATTTTTTTGGTGTTCATATCCCAGCACTTTTTCTCAAGTTTTAAATACAATTGTTTCCCTTTGTATGTTATTTTATGGCTTAAAGTCTTCTTGTGAGCCTTGCCACATGGGCGGAGGGGTGGCTGGAAGGCACAGGTCCTGATCTGTACCTCCTGTCTTGCAATCTTTCTGCCTCAGCCTCCCGAGTAGCTGGGACTACAGGCATGCGCCACCATGCCCGGCTAATTTTTTCTATATATTTTTAGTTGGCCGATTAATTTGTTTCTATTTATAGTAGAGAGGGGGTCTCGCTCTTGCTCAGGCTGGTTTCGAACTCCTGACCTTGAGCAACCCGCCTGCTTTGGCCTCCCAGAGTGCTAGGATTATAGGCGTGAGCCACCATGCCCAGCCTGTACCTGGTGTCTTTTTGGGTTTCATGTGTTTGTTTACAGGTGTGTAACCCAGGAGATGCCGTGACTTACAGTGCTGTGGCTCACTGCTGTGTTGTTTACCTCAGTTGTGAGGTATGTGAAAAGACAACCCCTCGTTTCATTCTAGATTCACTTTCTGCGTCAGGCCAGTGCCTCTCTGTTGTGGGTGGGCGTAGGGGGACGAGGAGCTCCCTGTGGGTCAGCTACACACTGCCACACAGGTAGCGCAGACCTGGCCCGGCGGTCAGGCAGTGAGACGAAGCTCAGCTCCCTTTCCTACACGCCATTCCCCTGAGTGGAGAAACAGTGTCTGGCTTTTAAAATCCGGCCCTCACCTGTCTCGCTGAGAAGAGGCTTTGGGGAATCCACCTTTACCAGGTGATAGAATGACTTTTTCAGAAAAGTATCAACACTTCCCCAGTCAAGTGGATTTTTAACTCCTGATGAATCTAAGAAACACAGAAAATGAAAACGGCCCACAAAGCATATGTACCCGTAAATATGGGACATTTGGCATTTGATGGTCAAACAGGAAGAAAGAATAGTTGATGTTTGGTGCTTGCTGTGTGCCAGGCACTGGAGTTGGTGCTACATGTGTCTCATTTCATGCTCACAGTGACCTCTGAATTAAATAGTCTTGCCATCCCTCTTCCCCAGACGAGGACACTGAGGCTCAGGGAAGGTTGGAAGCCTCCCCAAAGTCATAACACTATCGAGGTCAGGTGCTGAGATTCAAATCTGTGTTGTCGGGTCTAACTGTGTTTTAACCTCTCTCTGTCAGAGTAGATGAAAAAGGGAAAAAAATTCTAGTTTAAGAATAAACCTTGGCCAGGCACGGTGGCTCACGCCTATAATCCTAGCACTCTGGGAGGCCGAGGTGGGAGGATCGCTTGAGCTTAGGAGTTCAAGACCAGCCCGAGCAAGAGCAAGAACGATCTCTCCAAAAAATAGAGAAAAAAATTAGCTGGGCAACTAAAAATAGAAAAAATTAGCCATGCGTGGTGGCGCACGCCTGTAGTCCCTGCTTCTCGGGAGGCTGAGGCAGGAGGATCCCTTGAGCCCAGGAGTTTGAGGTTCCAGTGAGCTGTGAGGAGGCCACTGCTTTCTAGCCTGGGCGACAGAACGCAAGACTCAAAAAATAAAAAAAACCTCATCTGGGGAATCACACACACACACACACACACACACACACACACACACACACACACACACACACACACACACCCCAAAAACCTTAGTTTCAGAATATGTCAATTGTTGATTTATTTAAAAAATATAAAATATTAAATAACATATTTAAAGTTCATTTTTTCCCCCATGGCTCATGGTCATTGTCCCAAGTGACACTTAGCTTGACGTGGCTTAATTTGAAGATGAGGTTTCCTTCTTCCCTGTAGTTTTCATCTCCATCGTGTGGCCCGCAGGTCACGCTTTCCTGATCCCAGGTGGAGGTGACTGTGTGTTCTGTAGACTCCTGTAGTCACTTAACATTCAGCAGACACCAGACACAAATGCTGCTGCATTGGTCATCAGGTGGCTTTGACACCTTTTTGATCTTCCTTCCAGGGGCCTATGTGGCTTGTTGGTAAGGAAGCACTGGTCTAGGAAAGAAATCTTTCTATGTCTTCCTTGCAAATGATCTACTGAGCAGTCTACCTCTGACTTTACCTGGGGCAGTTTGTTTTCCTAAGAAGAGAAGGTTATGAAGCAAGTAAGAGTTTTAAGATATTGTTCTACTGTTTGCTTTTACTGTAAAGTAATTTTAATGATTCAGCCGACAGTATTTACTGAGTGACTGGTATGCACCTGTAATCCTTTGAGAAGTTGATTAGTTCCACCTGAGGTTTTCTGCCCTAGGAGATAAAAACTCTCCCGGGTTATTTCTTTCTATGACCTACCCCAGGGACTTTGCACTGGGTTGGACCAATGCAGGCAGCTCTCGGGGCCTTCAGTGGCATCCGACGCTGAATTGCTTATATTGCTTATGTGGGAGGAGGGAGTGGGCTCTGGGAACTGCATATTAAACCGGCTCCTCTTAACCATTTTACTTTTTTTTTTTTTTTGAGACA